ACACCAACAGCGCGCGCGCATTGGAATATCAGATTGCACGAGCGAAAAGTTGCGCGAATACGGCGCGCGGACAAACAAAACAACACGTTTGCGTTGAAACGCAGCGATGCGCGCGCTGGTTTATCCCCTGGTCGCGTGAAAACTCGCGCTGAGCATTAAAAATACATTGCGACTTGGGCGCGCGGACTAACAACAAAAAAAAAGCGCGCGCGTCAAAATTGCAAAACAAAGGCGCACGCGCGTCGCAAAACCGCGCCGCGCCCGCGAAAATTGCAAAGAAACGCGCGCGCGCGTTGAAAAAATCACGCTCGCGCGTGAAAATAAACCAAAAAATAGCGCGCGCGGGATGCGTTTTCTTAAGCATTTGGGGACTCTCCCGGCGTTGTTTTTGTAGTCTCCCGGATAAAATGCTTAAGGGCTGACCCAATGCTTAAGGCTTAAGCATTTCCGGAGTGTCAAGACCCTCTGGGGACTCGGCACGTCGACATGGCCGAGGACGCCCCTCCATTCGGCGGCGTCGGCGCGCAGCTCGTTGGGGAGCAAGACCAAGTCCAAGAGAGGCCAGAGGTTGGTTTGGCCGGCCCAGGCCCCACGACAGCGGTTGCACCACGCGCAGCCAGGGTCGTCGTGTCCGGCGGTGAGCCAGACTCTGTGTGGAAGTCTTCCGCAATTGCATTGGTCTGGGAGGCGATCGACCGCCCCTCGCCTTCTGGCCGAGCCGGGTAGCCCGCTGGCGAGGAAACGAAGAACGTGGTGTGCCACCGTGAAGGAGGCACAATGCTGGATCAGAGACCATTCCGCCCCGTCTGCCTGCGCCCCGCGCCTGGACTGGCCGGTCACTCGGAACCAGTTTTGAATAGAGTGCCCGTGGAGCTGCGCCCAGGAGGCCGAATAGACTACCCTGCCGAAGCAATGGCTCCGGATCCTGCGGGGCTCCCGCAGCGCGCGGGTCGGGAGCTCGGCGGCCCTGTTATCCGTGAGCACCTTGGAACCAGGTCTGGCTGGCCCCTGCTGTCGGGCGCCACCCACGGCCCATTTGCAGAGCTTGTTCCATCTGATCTTGGCGCGCTTGCGGGCGGGCGGGGGGCCCCGCACACCCCCTAGAGCGCATGCTCTGGCCGCGATGGCCCAGGCGGTGGCGACGGGGCATTTGGGGCACCCAGGCACCTGGGACAGGATACCAAGGCCCGCGAGCACGTGGTCAGGGATCCAGGAAGCGCCCGCAAGCCCGAGGGCCACTCGCAGCTGTGCCTGGCGGGCGCGCTCCTGCAGCACGTCCGGGGCCACGTGGTGCGCGGGGTAGGGGGCCAGCGAGATGAGGTGGGAATTCCACGCAAGGGCGGTGCGCGAGGTGGACATACCTGCAATGTGTAGGGCCCTAGCACGATCGCGCATCTTGGGAAGCGGCTTGCCCCAGGTACCGGAAACGAATGCTTCGCGCTGCCCTCGGGTGAGCAGCCCCCTGGAAGGGGGGCACTTCTCCTTCGGCGGCTCCGGAGACCACGCTGGCGCCGAGGCACGGCCACTGGGCCGCCACTGACGAGGCACCGATGGGAGTGAAGTCCATGAGCGATCTCCACCACTCGCGGTTGCTCGCAAGCACCAGAGCGGTTTTGAAGTTGCAGGAGCAGGGAGCAGGCCAGGGGCGGCAAGCAGCCGCCGTGGCTGGGCCGAGCGAGACGAGGATGAGGGCCTGGATGAAAGCGGGGGGCAGGCCCGCGATGCAGATATCGCCGTCCCGTCTTTCCAGGGCGACAGGCACTTCAGCCGGGGCAAGAGCGGCGCGGCTGTCGAAGGGCCTGTGGACCCCTCTGCATCTGCAGGCTTCGACCTGGCGGCCAGCCACTTTGGCGAGCCAAGGGGGGCGATGGCCGCGCGAAGCGCCTGGCCCGTGGATGCGAGAACAGCCGCTAGGTCGTCGACGTATGCGGGGCTGGCGCCCCCGGCAATGTTGGCGACGGCTTCCACCAGCGGGCCGTAGCCCATGCACCAGAAGCGGGGAGGCCGCCCCGCTCATGCCGATCGAGCGGAGCAGGCGTCTTGCTCTGCTCTTGCATTTGCTCTTGCAGGTTTGGGCGCGACGTTCGTGCAGTAGAGCGTCCAGAGCGTGTAGGAGCGAGGGAGGGAGCTGCCACTTCTGTAGCAGAATACCAACCCACTGGAGTGAGATGCTCTCGAAGGCCTTGTTCTGGTCACAAAAGATGACGGCAGGGCTTGGGGCGGCGCCCGGGCGTGTCTCGGCGGCTAGGAGACGCCGCTGGACCGCGCAATGGCGGCTTCCCAGGAGTTCGCGCCAGCATCGGCCGGGCCAGGGGTCAGCAGGTGTCATGGCTCAGGTGCCCAGACACGACGGCGATGTTGGGGCCACAATAACCTCACTTTCTGGCAGCTTGACGCCGGCCAAGCCGCGGTTCGACTGCGGGGCCGAGGTGTGCGCATGCACGTCGGCAGCTGCAGCGGGCGCATGTCGCCGGGCTGCTCAGCCGCAGCCATCTTCCCAATCCATACCTGGAGATCGACAGACTTGCCGAGGACAGCGTCGATGAGGCACGGGTTGACGCCCGCAGCGTACCAGGCTTGCCCGAGGAGACAGGCGACAAAGCGGGCGCAGGGATGGCAAACCTCGCAAGGTTCCTCGCCCACGCCTGGCGCGCTGCCGCTGGGCTCGAGGACCAGAGAAGCGATTTCCCCCCAAGGGGGCCGGGGGTGAGCAGCGCGGCCCCCCAAGTCCTTTCCCTGGACGTAGCAATGTAGGACGCGACCCCCGGGGGGGGGCAGGGGGGGGGGCGGCCTGCCAGATGTGAGAGCGGCTCCCCCCAAGAACGTCGTCGACACGGTCTGGCTTTTCGTGCCAGACTCCTTGTTCGTCGCGCGCACCGAGGACGGCGCGCGTCTTGACGCATATCTGTAGCGCGCGGCCAGGGCGGGGCGGCCCGCGGAGGGGCCCCTTCGAACCGGCGTCAGCCTTGAGGCCCGTCTCTGGGCCAAGTCGCTGTCCCACTTGCGTAGCAAGCCCGCAGCCTGCTACGGCGCGAAGTCGCCGCCGCTCCATCCGCGCTCGGTGAGCCAAGCAGCAAGGGGGGCCACTGGTCTGGCGCTGCGTTCCGCGCGGGAGGCTGCAGCTAGAAGAGTACCTGGCGAGCGGGTGGTTCTGCTGCGTCTTCATTTCCTCCGCCAATCTTGGATAGCTGCAGACAGCGCGTGTCGCCCCAGCATCAATAGGGCGGAGAGGAATGGAATCGCCATGTCCTCCGCGTCGGCGGCCTGGGGCTGCGGTGGCTCACGGTTTACCTCAACGTCCCCGTTGCCATTGTCAAAATGCCAATTGGGGAAGCTACCGGGGTCGCTGGCCTCACCCAAGTCGCTAGGCTGGAGCAGGCCGGCGAGGCCCGCATCCGGGATGTCGAACATACCCTCGAGGTAGGAGAACATGTGTCTGAGTTCCGTCCTGGCTTCTGAGGGAAGCGAGCGAATGTCACGAGCCCGGATGACGTTGTCGCGTCTTCGTAGACGGGCACCCTCGGGGCCAAGATAAAGGATGGCGGGGTCAGGGAGCGTGGTCTTCCAGACTTCGCGCACGCCGTGGAGCCCCAGCTGCCGGGCGGGGCAGGCCAGGACGTCGATCTGGGACTCGCTGCCTGCGAAGACACAACTCAGTGGCAACCGAACTATAAACAGCTTTTTGCTCCCAGCGGGGCGTCTGGACAGCTGGGCGGGCCAACAGGTGGGCCTCGACATCATAATCGACAGGAGGGCGCCGCCCATTTGGGAGAAGGGTCGCGACTGCAACAGAGGGAGCGGATAATGGCGAAAGGATTCAACACTCGCGACGACCCTTAAACACAAAGGCAACAATCAGCCTAAATGAACAAGAAAACCACGCTTTGAGCCAGATAAGCCAACATGACACGTAAACAACGAGAAAGACGGCCATCATCATCATCACCATCATCATCACCATCATCACCATCGCCATCATCATTACCATAACCATCACCATCATCATCATCATCATCATTACCATCATCATCATCACCATCATCATCATCATCCCACCTCCAGCCCCCCTCACCATCCCTATCATCGCCCCCTTCCTCCTCTCACTCGCTCTCGCGAGGCCCGGCCCGCCATCGGCGCGGGGGGGCGCCTGCGCGATGAAGACCACGTCGGCGCACGGCCGCCCCCTATCCCCCCCCCCCCTCCTCTCCTCACTCCTCTGCCCTCCCTCCTCCCCCTCCCTACTCCTCCCTACTCCCCACTCCCCCCTCCGTCCTCCTTCTCCCTCCTCCCTCCTCTCCTTCCCTTCTCTCCCCTCGCCCCTCCTCTCTCCTTTTTCTCTTCCCAGCTACCTCCTCTCCTCTCTCACCCTCCCCCTGCCCCTCCCTCCACCGCCCTCCTCTTGTCAAACATGTGCGTTATACCGTACTTGAACTTGAATTCCCAAGGCATCTTCTTCTCTCCTCCTCTCCGTGTTATTCTCCATCCCCCGTCCTCATGCTCCCCATCAGCCCCCCGTCACATCACTCCCTCCACCCCTCTCCTCACTGATCCATCCTCCTCTCCTTCCTCTATCCTCCGGTACTTTGTTCACCTGCACCTCCGCAGAACGTTTCAACTTCAAACTCTCTGGGCCGCTCGGTGAGCGCTGCCGCCAGCGCGCGACTCAACCACGAGTACCGTGCACTCGTGCGCCCCCCATTTCTCGCGGCCTTCCCCGTGGTACGAGCCCCGATCATGTCGACACCGACTCCATGAATTGCGCGAACCGCGTCGCCCTGGCCTTCCACATGGGCACCGCCGCAGAGCCCTTCATGTGGTCATCGTTGAAAGCCTTGATCGTCTTCAGCACATCGGTGCCGCACCTCTTCGCCTCCGTCACCGAGAACTTCGCGAAAAAACCAAGCGTGGCCCCACTCCGTCGTTTTCTTAGGCTCGTAGAACACTGGCATCGCGACCCAACCCCGCGGCACACTCAAGACCCTTTTCGGCGGAACCACCACCCACTCGGAGCGCTCGAAAAACTTGACGCCGTCGTCCGTCTCCAGGAACTTCGCGGCGTTCGGCATCACGATACCGTCCTCGAGAAGGCTCTCGATCTTGAAGAGGCCCACGAACATCTGGCTCGCCCGATTCTTCATGACGAAGCCCACGCCAGGAAGAGGAACTGCCACCGCACCAAACCTGAACGCGTCGAACCTAGCTGCGAACGGCCAGGGGCCGGCACCGGCATCTGCATCAAGAGTGATGTCATTCGGGAGGGGTGCGAAGTCGAACGTCTGCAACGAGCTCTGGACACGGCCAATGGCCCCTGGCGCCTTAGCCTCCCTGAGCATGAGGTTGTCCATGGTCGTGATATTGGCCTCCATCTTCGTGGCCGACTCCGCCATGAACTGGTTGACCATCTTCTCGATTGTAGTACCCGCGCTGCACAAGATCTGGATGATGTCCCCGCTGTACTCCGCCTCGTCGCCCTCGGGGGCAGCAACCCCCAGCGCGTGATTGGTCAGCTTATTCTCCGCCAGCGGGTAGCCGCGGATGTTTCTCGCAACCGCGACCCCCAGCTTCTTCTTGAAGCCACCCGAGATCAGGGAGTTCGCAACCTGCCGAGGGCGAGAAACAAGAACCAAGACAACCAGCAAAGTCGAGATCCGAGGAACCAGGATCGGATCCATCTTGGCAGGATCCGAGACGGCCGTTTTGGGCGGGGCCCGTCCTGGGCTGGCCCAAAAACGGGGGCGTCTTGGATCCTGCCAAGATGGACCCATCTTGGACTCGGGTTTTTCTTCCCGAATTGCCTCCGACCCCCAAGGCTATCCAATAGAGGCCCCTTCCAGGCCCGCTAAGAGGAACCTGCCATGGGCCCAACCACGAAAGGCCCGCCTTGGGCCCACCAAGAGGCCCCATCTTCAACCGATGGGGCCCGCCATGCCCCCCCCCTCAGCCGGCCCCGCCAAGAGGGGCCCGTCTTCGGGTCCCAGCGCGAGGGGCCCGCCCTGGGCCCCCAAAGAGGGACCCAACACATATGTTTAAGCCTGGTGCGTTTCGGCCCCAGGCTCACCTTCATGATCTGGTGGTGCTCGGCCTGGTAGACCTTGCGCTCCTGGACCTTCTTGTCCTTGAAAACGCAGTCCATGGCCTCGTAGTGGTCCTTGCAGGCCCTCTTGGCGATCTCCAGCTGCTCGATGGCGACCTCGGCGGACCTCTCGAGCGACGCCAAGTTCTCCACAGTCGAATGGTTCACCTCACCTTTCTTCTCCTTCAGGACCCCCGTCTGGTCGTCAGACTGCTCGGCGATCGCATCGGTCTTGGTGGGCAGCTGGTGCTTGTCATCGAGACTGGCCAGCTTCTCCGACATGGTAGTCATCTTCGTCTTCTCGCCTGCGGCGCCATTCAAGGTGTTCAGCGCATCCTCGATCTTCCGCGACAGGATCGATTGCCTGCGGAGCAACTCCAACGCCGAGAGATCCTTGGGGGGGGTGCTTCGCCAAGAGAGCCTCGTCGTTTCATGGTGGAGTGGTGGCCTGGCGCTCGCCCCTTGGCGGCGCAGACGTCGAGACCTCCGAGGGGCGAAAGGTCGGAAGATTAGATTATGGACTAGGTGCTCCATTGGGCCCAGGGCTGAACATTCCCGAACTCGAACCTGACACTGACCAAGCCGTGGGAGCCGTCTTCGTAGTCAACCTCCGTCGCTTGAGGCTGTAGGTCTCAACGTCGATCTCGCCGACCTTCAGCACGCCTTGTTTGACTTCTCTGCTCTTGCCCTTCCGCAGCGCCCCACGCCCCTCATGCTCCCTCATGCTTCACGCGGCTCTCGCCCTTCCTGTTCTTGTGCTCGTCCCCCTGCTCCTCCACGACCCCGTTGAAGTCGTTCCCGAGCTCCCTGCGTGTCCTCGTCGACGCCTCGTTGGTCAGCACCCAGCCGATGTACTGCGACTTGGCGAGCAGCATGTCGTTATCCAGCTCCTGGTCGAGCTGCTTCTCCACGTGCTCCTCGATCTCCGAGGGCCCCCGCTTCGCATTCGCCACTGCCCGGGCCCTGACCTCGGGCTCGGCGCTCGGGGGAAACGGAGCCACCGAAGCTCGCCACGCCACGGGGTCGTTCTTGGAGTTCTGCTCGTTGGCCTCCTTCGCCGCGGAAAAGGTGCTCATGCTTCGCCAGCGGGCCCTGGCCCCAACATAGCATCCCTGGTGGAAGATGCGCCCGTCGCGGCGGCAGGGGGAGGTTCGCGAGCACCTCATCCAAGTTGCAAGCGTAGCACGCGCCCGTCCCCATGACAGCATCGTCGAAGAAAAGATCTTCATCGAACGCGCTACCTGCCGCAGACGGAGCCCTCGAGCTTGCCCTCGACGCCATCGGAGCGGGCCCGAGCACGGCACTTCTCAGTCTAGGATACCTCCGCGCAGCAGAGGCTTGGAATTGTCACTTGTGACACCAACGGGCTTTGGCTAAAACGGCTACTGATGAATTGTGTCATGTTAACTCTTGATCTCTGGATCCCCTCTGAATTGCATTGGGGCATTTTCCGTTCAGGCTAATGTTTTTTGTGTTTGGCGCTTGCGTTTCTCCAGCGTTTTCGCAAGTGCCCCCCCCCCCCCCCCCCACCCACACACACACCACACACACCACACACACACACACACACACACACACACACACACACACAACACACACACACACACAACCCCACCCCACCCCACACCACCCCACCCACCCCACCCCACCCACCCCCCCACCCGACCCCCCCCCACACACCCCCACACACACACACACACACACACACACACACACACACACACACACACACACACACACACACAACCCACACACACACACACACAACACACCACCCCCACCCCCCCCCCCACCCCACCCCACCACCCCCCCCCCCCCCCCCCACCCCCCACCCACCCACCACCCACCACCACCCCCCACCCCCCACCCTACCCCACCCCCACCACACCCCACCCCACCAAACCCCACCCACCCCACCCCCACCCCACCCACCCCCAACCCACCCCACCCACACCACCCACCCACACACCACCCACCCACAAACCCACACACACACACACACACACACACACACACACACACACACAAACACACACACACACACACCACAAACCCTCTCGCTCCTACTCCTCCCGCCGCCCCCCCCCCCCCCCCCCCCCCCGCAACCAAAAAAACATGCGGGGTGTGTTTGCCCCTCAGTTCTGAGCCTTCAACTGGTGGTGGAGGGTCTTCTTCTGCAGCCATCGGCGGGCCTTCTCCCAGCATCCCTTCGGGGCCAAAGCGGCTACTGATTGGACCTCTGAGTTAACTCTGGATCTCTGGTTTCCCTCTGAATTGTACCCGGGTAAACTTCCGTTCAGGATGTTATGTTTGGTTGTGGTGCTCGCGTTTTCCCGACGTTTTCCCTGAGTGAGCCCCCCCCCCCCTCCCCCCTCACTCCTCCTACTCCCATCGTCGCCCCCCCCCCCGCCACGCCCCTCCCCTCGAGCCTTCCTCGGGCCCGCCTGGGGCCACCGTCTCATCGGGTTGACCACCCCTATCAACTGCGCCGCCTCTTCTCAGCGAGCACCCCAACGAGCGCATCAGAGCACGCTTGCGCAGCGCCCCTCCTAGAGAGCACCAACCCCACACAAGTGCAATTTTCTTGGCTGTCTGCATCCCTGCATGACTGTATTCGGCTGTTCCAACACCTCAGAGCCTGCTTAAACAGTACTTCGACGCCTGGAGGGTTGCTTAAACGTCGCCTCGACGTCTGGGGGGTTGCTTCAACATTGCTTCACGATTGCTTCAACTTCCGCTGTCCTTGCCAACATTGCTTCAACAGTGCTTCAACATTGCCTCAATATTGCTTCAACTTTTTCGGCCAAACGTCAACATTGCTTCAACATTGCTTCAACACTGTTTCAACATTGCTTCAACATTGCTTCGGCTGGTGTCAACACAGTTTGGGTAGCATCACTTTCATATTGAAAAACAGGTGTGTTTGGCGATCAACAGTCGGCGCCCAACGACTCGCAGATTTAAGGCTGGCATGGGTGAACGTCAATATGGTTCCCGTTGCAGCCTCAACGAGCATCGTCGCCGTATGTTGCGATGTAATCGTCAATCTCAGCGTTCGTCGGGGGCCGCCGATGGCCCTCCACCGATCGGGGCTCACCGAACGACGCCCAAGTGGCAAGGACAAAAGCAGTTGCTCTAGGCCCGTGGCGTCCCACACCAAGCCTCAAACTCCTATAATTCCCGCAAGCTGCCCCATGAACAAGGCAACGCATCCTAAGTCCGCGCTATTCGGCGCCGTTCCGCGCCCGCTTCTCTAGTCTCACTCCCATGCCCCAGACCGTGGGCCGATGCTCGGGAACCGCGGGACCCGGCGCAGCATCGACTGCAACATCAGCAACTGGGGCAGGGCCTGCGGGCTCAGCGGGCTCGCCAGCAGCACCGTCTGGCTCTTCTGGACGTCTTCGGGCGGGTCGTCTTCAAGTGGGAGGGGGCCTGCAGGCATTTCCAAAGCGACGCCATCATCGCCCACGACGGCGGGGGGTGGGGGGGGGGCTGGACCCACGGGCTGCTTTACAGCTAGCTCCTTGTCAAGCAGGGGCGGTGCAGGGCCGCCCCCGCATGCAAGCAGCGCTCGGCATTCCTGATTCGCGATACCTGGCACGATCTTGCCTCTCAGAGGAAGTTAGAACTAATACCCTGGTCTGCCGCTCCTAACGTCGGGCGGCGCAGTCTTGGACCCATCGCCCCAGCACACCAAACACTGGAAATAACATATCTTAGGTGACGGCCTCCTGGAATCTGCTATCTTCGCTCGGCCTGGGTCGTGCCTGAGGGGAACTTGTTCAAAGTGCGCGCCCCCCCCCCTTCCCCTACGCCTACTTCCGCAATATTCAACTTATGTCCTGGACCCAGACGCCCCACCCACGACGAGCTTGATGCCGCCTTAGTGGCTCACTGCTCTCTGCAGGTATGTACGCCTCTCTCGTTTTCTCTCTTTCCCTCTCTCTCTCTCGCTCTCTCTCTCTCTCTCTCTGTCTCTCTCTTTTTGTCTCTCTCTCTCTCTCTCTCTCTCTCTCTCTCTTTCTCTCTCTCTCTCTCTCTCTCTCTCTCTCTCTCTCTCTCTCTCTCTCTCTCGCCATCTCTCCCTCCCTCCATCTCTCGATATCCCCCTCTCTCTCTTCCTGCCCCTCCTTCCCCCCTTCCTGCCTTCTTGCGCTAGCTCGAACTCTTTTGATGGGGTGCTGATCCGACCTGAACGGTTTCGCTGCCTATCTCTCTCTCTCTCTCTCTCTCTCTCTCTCTCTCTCTCTCTCTATATGTATGTACCCCTCTCTCTCCCACTCTCTCTCTCTCTCTCTCTCTCTCTTTCTCTATCCCTCAACGGTTGCGTCACTCGCACTCTCTGGTTCGATCCATGTGTTTTTTTGTTGCGCCTCACTGCCTGACAAGCCTCTCCTCGAAGGACCAGGCGAGCATGCGGAGCTCGTCCATCAGGCTGAGGACGGGCATATATGCATCTGAGAGCTTCACGCGCGGCCTGAGAACCTCAGGCTGGTCCAAGAGCAAGCAGCCATCGATGTCACTCGGCCTCGGGCTCCAACGACACGTTTGGCCCCTGTCGCCGATGCCGTTGATGAAGTCGAGGAGGGAGATGCGAAGTGGATCAGAAACGATGAAGACCTGAGCAGAGCCGACTGCTCCTGCAGCAGACTCCTGCCATATCTCAAACGGCTGCACCGTCAGCCTGGGCGCGAACTCCTTCTTCTTCCGGAATGTTTTTACAACCACATCCTTTAGTTGCAAGACAGAAGTTGCGAAAAATCTTTGATTGACCCATCTTTCTGGCTTTGTAGCGACACGTAGCATCCCATATTCGTGCTAGGCGCAGTCTCGAAGTACCCCCTCATAAGGATCCGACATGCACCACCGCCACCAGCACGCCCATCAGGCTGATCGTCACCGCCTCCATGCATATCATCATCACCTGGATCGTCACCAGGTCCCTGGTCATCTGGCCCATCGCCAGCGTCGCCAGGATCTGGTACTTCCACTGGGTCAAACAGCTCGAAAGTTCGGAAATACTCCATTGTATACACTCGTTGGTTCAACATGTTCTGACAGATTTGCTTGCGGCGCTGGAACCGCTTCTCTCGGCGAACTTGCAGGATCGACGACGGCCGTCGCCAAACATCCTCCAATGCAAAACTTGCCTGGTATAGCATGTTAGTTAGATCGCCAATGTTTTGATCAACGCGCAAGCTCGAGGCGATCCATGGCCAAGTCACTGCACGAGCGTGCGCATCGATTGCCTTAGCTCGTCTGCGTGGTGCTTCCCCCTCAGCGTCATCAAGCGGAATGCCTTGCAGCGATTTGATTGCGCAAGCAAGCTCTTCGGACATGTTAGACCCACCGGGCAGCATGGCG